GAAAACAATATTCTTAAGAACTCCATTTATTACTTTTAAATAGCTTAGTATTAACCTCGGCTGTAAATCTATTTGGAAATATGTTAAGTACATGAAATGAACCACTCCCGGCAACAACCGAATTAAAAGTGCTAGTGGTTACGTATGCTCTGACCACGAAATGTGTGAAATCTTTGCTGAGCATCTGTCAAGTCAATTCAGCCCGAACACCTCTCCAGCTGATGTCGGTTCGGACCAGGAGGTCGTGGGATATATCAGCGAATATTGGAATTCGTACATTTTAATGAACACTGCAGATATGGCTTCTCCGAATGAGGTGAATTCCATCATTAGATTGCTCAAACCTAAAAAGACTACTGGTAAAGAAGACGTTAATAACCGGATGCTAAAAACAGGCTATTTAAAATTATTTGGAAACTCACGAGCATTCTTAATGCCTGTTTTCACAATAAATACTTTCCGCAAGCTTGGAAGCATGCAACAATTTTTGTGATTCCCATGTCTGTAAAATCACATGAAAATCCTACTAATTACAGGCCAATAAGCCTGTTGTTATCATTCATCAAGATTCTAGAACGTTTGATTTACAACCTCATCAAGAATGACCTCCATTCCCGCGCTGATCATCAGTATGGATTTAGAAAAGGACTTTCTACGTGTACACAGCTCGTTTGCCTGGCTGAGTTCAACAGCGGAGCTCTTCATAACAAGATGTGTTGCAATCCTGATGCTGGACGTGAACAAGGCTTTTGACAGCATCTGTCATCCAGGTCTCATATATACCATAACCAAGTCGGGAAGGACTCGTAGCCCTGATTCTGCTGATTAAATCTTATTTCGAAAGACGCCCCTTTGATGTTAAACACGGAAATGAGATCTTCAGCCTTAAAAGCATATATGCGGGCCTTCCGCAAGGCTGTATCTTGGGGCTAATATTTTACATTCTGTATGTCAACGACTTTCCCAGTTTTAGAGTCGACCACAACACGATCATGGCTTGCTACGCCGACAATAGGGTTGTTGCTGTTAAAATACAGATTGCCAAATCACGCCTTCGTCAAAATAGAGGAAACGATCTCCGCTATTAAGGAATGGCGTATCAAATGGAAAATAAGTATTCAATCTGACAAATAAAAAATTCTTCTGGTTAGGCAATACCGCAAAATGACAGCTATGACGAAAGACGTAACTGTTCCGTATGTTTCCCAGAGTTGACAAAGTCAGTTATCTGGTGGTTGCCTTTAATAGGTCATTCACCTGATCCACTCAAGTGGCCAAAGTGTGTGAAAAGCATACGGAATGAAGTTCAAACTCTTCACACTGCTTAAAAATGATCAGCTTTCTATTAATTTAAAATCTACATCATGAATCTACACAAGAATCTACATCACAGCTCTTAGGCCTATTATTAACCTTTAAGAGACTGAGGAGTTTGGAAAGGTTTCACTTAAATAGACGGGAAATCCAAATGCATTTCCACCCCCTTTTAGCTGCCATTGTAAAAGGAACCTATTACTCGTTTGCAACTTTTCCTCTAGGTCGCCCTTGGGGGTCGCCTTTGTTAGTTTTCAGATAAGAGACTAGGGAATAATACAAAGGAATTTGTTGAATTTCTTCTCTTTTCTGCTGTTTCTTTTCCCTAAACTAGAAAAACATATGATGGTGAGATTTCGTAGCTAAATAATTGTCGTATGTTGGAATATTAACTTTTGACATTGCGTCACAATGAAAATACGCCTTAGCAACAAATGCATGCCTATAATCAGTCCATAGTCTAATCGGTTTTTATTTGTTTCCAAACTGAATTTAGTTTAGAAATACATGTACTAATTAACATTTTTAATTTATACACGAAAATGATGTTTAACTATTTTTTTCTCGTATAAATCGGCAGTTCGCTTTCATTTGTTTAAAAGCATTGTGTAACAGCTTATATTTATATATTAAATAAATCCCTTTATATTTTTCTTATATTAGTTTCGTTTACATTTTTCATTAGTATTCTTATTCAGTTTAATTTATTGATCCCCCCCATTGTATGGTAAGTTATTTCATCTTTCAACTACATTATTGTTCATTGTTCTTTCTTGCAGTTTTGTGATAGCAGCTTTTTTTATCCTTTAGCGTGCTTTTTTTTTTAATTGTTTTCCCTTTACTATAAAAACAGATTTTATTGATTATATTTTCATTGCATTGCACTGCCTTGCATTTTGCATGTTTCAAACAGCAATATTAAATACAAAAATTACAATAGAAAGAGGAAATATAAAGAAAAAGTACATTTTTAATGACATTGAAAAATTGGTGAAATTAATACTAATGTAAAATTTTAAGCGGATTTATAAAATTTTATTTATTTATACAGACTTACTAGAGTTCGTTACTAGAGAGAACTAGCTGGTTGCATGTGACGTTATGTGTACCATGAGTACCAACCAATTTCTTTTAAAAAGACCTCCATGAAGCCCCTTCTCCCTTGGGCAGATAGCCCTTTGTGCCTTGGTCGTAATCCAAATATTCCCACTTTTATTTATATATGCGTATAAAGACTGAAAGTGTTATAAACAGAACATAATCCTGTCAAAATATTGACGCTGTTATGCAGGTCCCTTTTACAGGAATTTAGCTCATATTTTCATTATGCACAAGAATGTAAGGAATACTGAAACTACAAATGTTATTAAAATAGCATTTCTGGTTATTACTTTACCATAATGATGAAAATTTTATTCTTAATTAAAAAAAAAAAGGCTTGTGCCGAAAATTAATTCTGTCTCTCGGTAAAATATTAGGCACTACACCGACAGGGAGGGACGCTTCATGGAAGACGTTTTAAGGGAAACTGGCTTGTATGCACGTTACATAAGAGGAAAACATCGAAAACGCCTATGCAGCCAGCTCTTTCGCCGGGACTCGAATCCCGGAATAAACTATCAGTGTTCAGCGGCTTTTATAGCTCGGCCGCTGACGGGCCTTTGTTAAGGACTTTCTACGTGAAACTGGCCCATGTATTTCTTGCTCATGTGTACGTGAAAGAAATAGCAGATGCTTTATTTAGATCAAACGGAGAATAGAACCTTTGAGAATTACCAGTGTATATCGATTTCACTGATATCCCATTACTGTTATCAGTACGGGAATACGGGTTTAATTTTCTTATAAGAAAGAAGTTGAAACAAAAGGCTACATATGTATCTATATTTTAATTAATATTCATTTTGATCATCTAAGAAACGAAGAGTAAATGCTAATTGAGAGATTTTTTTTAAAGTTAAATTTTAGTAAATGCTGTAAAACTGTAATTTAATACATTTTCCACATTTTGCTTTCTTGCCACATTTTGGATTTGCAAATATTTATAATAAAAGAAATATAGAAAGCAAATATATAAGAGTAATTACTGCTGAACTCACAGAAAGTCTTGACTTTATAAGCGCAATTACTCTTTCCATAAAATAACCAGTAGTTGGAATAATATCGCGTTTCGTCTCTTTCGTATTTTTGAATAAAACTTCTATGCCGAATGCGAAAGAAAACATAAATTAATATAATATTTGATTTTAAATCTGTGATTTTCAAGTATATGCACTCATACCCTCATTTACATATGTATATACCATACGCTTAAGCATGTTAGTATAGTGAGGTTACGTGAAGATGGCAAAGCACACAGGAGGGAATGCCTTCGTGGATTACATTCTAAGGGATTATTCAGTTATGGCAAAGCACACGAGGGCTGTCTGCCTAAAGGGAAGGATGCCTTTCGTGGAAGACCTTCTAAGGGAAACTGGCTAGTATGCACGTTACACATGGGGAAAACGAGTAAAACTCCCATGCAGCCAGCCCGTTCGCGGGATTCGAACCTCGGACCGAACTACCAGTGTTCAACGTCTTTACCGCTCGGCCGCTAGTGGGCCCCACTCTAAGGAAACTGGTTTGTAGGCTACAGTAGAGGAAACCAGGCATGTAGCCAGCCCGTTTGTTGAGGTTCGAGTCGAACTGCCAGTGTTCAGTGATGTTAACCACTCGACCGCTGATAGATTATATATATATATATATATATATATATATATCAGTATGCGTGTTTGGTATATACACACGCCTGTAATATGTACGTTATAACCGTACGTGTGTCTGTATATGTATTACACGCGCATATATGTATGTATATATACATATAAGTGCATTATACATATGTATACTTACGCATATATATATGCATATATGTACATATTTACATATACATATGTATGTATATGTCTATATGTAAGTATATATATATGTATGTAAATATATATATATATATATATATATATAATGTATGTGTGCAGGTGTATAGGTTGACTGGATACAGATGAATCTTATTTTCAAATTTCAGCCTAAAAATAGGCCTTTTTTTTTCTGTTTTTGTTTGTTTCAAATTTATATATTTCATATGATAGCTACTCTCGAATTAAATTTGTATATCTGTCTCAAGTCTACTAGTATGATAAATTTCAAAACAATTTATACATAGTCCAATGTCACATTTCTTGCAGGAAACTGAAGTTCTTTTCCTAATTCCGTTTTTAGAACAAACTACGCAACGTCTCTGAACTTTAGTTTGAAATGGCCAGTGCTGGTCGAGGTTGTTCGTTGAAAGTTTCCGTTTAACGGATTGTGAAGTTCTAGGCGAGGACATTACCTTTGGTTCTTCAGCAAAACTTCTCTGAACCATTTGATAAATTAAATTCTGTCGAAAATTTTTATGTTTTATCCCAGGGTTTTTCATTTTGAACAAAATGAAAGCATTCAAAATAGGCAGGTCTAATAAGTGGAAAAATAATTTTTTTGTCCACTTCAGAGTTTTCCGCCCAAATGTGTAGCTATTAGCCATTCTGTCGCTGAGATCTACATAACCCATATTAGCGTTGTAACAAGCTATTACATCTGGCTTTTCGGATCCAGTTTCTATTTCTCTGGATGGATTATGCATGTTGCTCAGCATAAAAACCTCTCGCTTATCCTTCCATACCCTGTGAATATAATTCTCTGCATTCACCTTTTTTCATTCGTGGAGAGGCCAGAATCTTCGGATTATATTTTCGATTTGACCTAACGGTACCACAGCTGTTTATTTTATACTTACGGTGAAGTTCAAGAAACAATTGTGATGATGAAAAGAAATTATCCATAAAAAGTTTATGTCCTTTTCCTTTAACACATTCAACAAGTCCAGTGACAGTTCGATGTGCAGAACATTTTTCTCCATCGCCTAAAACCTTATCCTTCCCCAGATACACACGCATGTTGAACGTATACCCATTTTTATCTGCAAGTTTGTAGACTTTAATACCGAAACGTTTTCGCTTTTTCGGGATGTACTGCCGAAATACTACTCGACCTTTAAAAGCAACGATAACTTCATCAACCGCAAGTTCTTCTGTAGGGTCATATATTTCTTTGAAGCGATAATTTAATATTTCAAAGACATTTCGAATCTTCCACATGCGGTCGTACTCGGGATCTTCTTTATTCGGTGCTAATTTATTGTCAGAAAAGTGAAGAAATCGAAGAATGTTTAAATATCGATCTCTTGCAATAGCTTTTCCAAAAAATGGGGTTTCGATCATCTCATCAGTCGACCAGTAGTCTTTTAAACTATCTTTATCAATGTGCCCCATAAGCAGAGTCAGAGCTAAGAATTTCCTTAGCTCCGATGCACTTACATTTTTCCATTTCACAGAATGAGCTTTTTTAGAAACACTTTCAGTTAACTCGAAAAATTGCTCGATATAATTATTTGTTTCGAGTGTTATAAAATCGAGTAAATGCATTTGAAATACGCATTCGAAAAAATCAATTTCATTACTGCATTCTGCAGCATTTCCTTTTAATGCGTTAGTTCCTTTAAATGAATAGGTATCCGTTTTCATCGAAATATCAGGATCAACCCAATTTATATCTATGTCTTCTAGATGAAATTCATTAATATTTTTTCCTTTATCTGCAACATCTTCCGAAACAGACTGAAATTCCATAAAGGAAGACACCTCTTTTCCTTCATCATTATCAATTTCGCATTCGGAATCACTGTCACCAAAAGCTTCATTTTCAAGATCTTGAAGCAATTTCTCGATTTCTTCTTGAGTTAAGCCTTTCTTTCTTCTATACATAGCGAAAGTAAAGCACAGCCAAGTATTAGTGCAGAGTTCTCGAGAGCAAGTAAATCACGCAAAACGCAACCAAAGAACATATAGGAAGAACAAATATTCTTTGACACAACTGAAAGATTTTGCCCCGAGCTAAGATTTCACTGCTGAGGGAAACGAAAGGGAATTTACGAACCCCCACAGTTGGGACGCGCGAAGGTCATCTCCCATAATTGGCAAGGGAGGTTATTTGGACAATGACTATCCCCGCACCCTCAAAGATTGGGGGGAGGAATTCTCTGGCCGATATTTCGGCCACAGCCGTCTTTCTGAGACACATCAGCTCTGGCGGATTCTTAGGTCACCCGTCTTTTAAGCGTTAAGTATGCATCTCCCGCCCGTACTACTGTCAGCGAGAAAGAGTATAAAAAATTTCAGGTGTTGCAAAATAAAGCTCTTAGAATTATGACAGGTGCCCCGTATTTTATAAGGAACAAAAGCCTACACCCGAATCTGAAAAAGCATCAATCAAAAGTTTCACCGCACAAGTAAATGGAAAATTTTAAGGGCGAGCTTTAAGAAATAAGCGAGCAAATTTCGCAGAAATCCTGCAGTACAACATTCTCGAGGAAGATAGAATTTTTAGGCCTTAAGCTGCTCATTTACTGCATGCTGCACTGAACAACCAGGCTCACCAATGAGAAAGCAGAATTTTTTAGTGCTTTTGCTATACAGTTTGATATTGTGTCTTTGCAAATGCGTGAATTCTGAGAGACTGCGAACATATCGACCAATCTCCAGATCTCTCTGGTCTTCAGATTAAAAGGAAAGCATTGACTTTTGAGAGTGTTGCAGGCTTCGACCTTTAGATGCACTTTTCCTTGCATTGTGTTTAAAGTTTTTAGTAGTTTGAAACCGTAACTATTTATTGTGCTCCATTATACTGAGAAGATCTATACGAGTTCTTTTATGTAAAGTTCCAGAACTGTTAAAGTGTTTCTTTTGAGAAAATAAATTTTATCAATCTATCATTGGTTCGTTGTGCATTCATTCCATTACAAACCCGTTACCACGTAACAATATTTTTAATGACGTTCGTATGGAACTTGCATGCAAAACATATAGTTAAATAACCAGAACTCTTATCAAATTGTTTATCTCTCTCTCTATATATATATATAATATGTGTTGTTACTTCTGTAAATGAAGACACTTTTAAACAATTTTGTTTGTGAAAACATATTAACAGATATTCTCTAAAGGTTTAAGGAATATGGTATTTGTTGTATATAATGGATGGTAAACTTACTTTAAATGTTTTGATCACCATATATATGAAAGTTAATAAAATACATTTTAAAATTATATACCAACAAAAGTAGCATTAAAATGCTTTGTTTTACATTAATAAAAAGTCTTTTCTTAATTTACATTAAAAAACATTTGTCTCATATTTTTGCATATGTCTTTCTTAGTTTTAAATCTATGTGCACTCTTCAGAAACATGCGAAATAAATGGTAGTTTGTAACACTTAGAGCTTAACTGTGTTATTTATAAATTTGTTATATGAATTGTATGACACATTGGCAGCATCTTACAAATTTGTTGCAATGATTTGAACAGCCGTTGCCTCATCTCGGGTGAGGGTATATTGATCTTCGTTCAACAAGGAAGGGATAGCATCTGAAACTAATATACCAAAGCTGTATACATCTGCCTGCCATATCAAAGGCTTTTAGTGTGATTATAATCTTCCAAAGATTCTAAACTAGATGTATCAGTGCCCATCATGTGCCCATTACTGTATGCTGAATATTAAATGACTAACCTTTGTATAGTTAGCATCTCTCTACCGCAGGCTCTGAAATTAGATTCCTAACTTAACTCTGCTTCTGCCATTTTCTCGACAGCATACGTAATTGCATAAATATGAGTAGATGGCTATGGAACCAATGGATTTGTTAAATCTTTTGAGTGTCAATGCAAACTCAAATGCTTTTTGGTTGCTTATAAAAAAACTCTGATGTGGATGCCATATAACTTCTTTGCACAGCATATTGAATTATACCCTCTTTTCGTGCACTTCATTTAACGATATTTTCTCAAATTATTCTATCTATCCCTAAAGGCAAGTTACTGATCCAACATTATAAAAGTGAGTACGATTAATTGACTTTAAAAAAAATAGAAAGATTAACTAAATAATTGACACTAATAAACACCTAGGTAAGTTTAAATTTTATTTACTGCAGTAACTAGCATTAAATTCCGACTCATTTTCAGTTTCTAAACGTTTAAATTTCCTTTTTGCTTTTTCAATAAAAATTTATTAGTTAATTCAAAAGTATGAAATACAAAAGTAAGATGTTCCTCATTCTTTCCTGCGTTTAGAAGTCATCATTATGCAAATATTTATTTAAAATTTTTAAAGTCTGAAAATACAAATCTGGTCTCTAGCGTGGAAAAGGGTGCTCTTTGACTTCGCACTAAATACCGACTCTGCTATCGGTTTTCTGGTAACCGAGAATCGACTCCAGTGTACAGGAGCCAGTTTTTTGGTACACGCCAATGTTTTTGTCAAGTTTAATTTTATTGGAAATTCTTAGTTTAGAGATTGTCGGCCACGTGATTTATAGTACATGTGTAACGTACTGATATTACGTAGTTTGAATTTTCACAGTATTTTGTTATGTAGTGGAATTCGAGATATTACTAACTAAAGGTTTAAGTACCTTAATTATTGGAAGACTAGAATTATTCTAGTGTACATTTTTTTCTTTATTTTTTGAATTTAAAGAGGGTTTTACTTCGCAAAATTCTTTTTTTCGTACGTAAGGGCCTGAGACAAAGTGCTTCAATGTTATTTTTGTTAATTTCTACTTGTAAAATAGTGACAAAAAGAAATATTTTGTATGTAAAAGAAATAGGGAGAGCTTAGTGATTTCAGTGCGCCATTTCTTTTCTTTCGCCTGGAAAATTCTAAAAGGTGTGTTCTTTTGTCTTTATCTTGGCTTCGGAGGGCTAAGTACGTGTTCTTCCTTGACGAAAGATCAAGGGTTACTGTTAGGTTGTAAGGTTTATCCTAAGTTTTTAACAGTTATCTTTAGTTAATGCTACTTTCCTATCCTTACCAATTTCAGCTTAAAATTTCCTACCAGAATGTATTTTTAAAATCGCATTTAATGCAAATGAGTAAGAGTCGTATTTAAGTCGAAGTAATACTGATTTCGAGAGAGAGCCTCGGAGTTTCTGACCAGCGCACTTTTGCCTTTCTTCTACGTCTCTCTAAACTAAAAGATATAGTCAATGCCATCAAGGAAATTCGAAGAAGTTGGCCCCTAAATATCAAATAAGCTGGCGAAGCTATCAATGGGCCCGAAATACGACTGAGCATAGTAATAGCTCAGACGTCTACGAAATACGAATTACGTATACTACGAATACGACTATACGTAAAATGAGCTATTACTATGCTCAGTCGTATTTCGGGCCCTTTGATAGCTTCGCCAGCTTATTTGATATTTAGGGGCCAACTTCTTCGAATTTCCTTAATGGCATTGACTATATCTTTTAGTTAAGTTTTATTTCTTCTTGAGTTCGAGCCTAAGTGGAGGCTTTTCTGTACGCTTTGAGAAAGGAGCCGACTGTTTTTCTTATTTTGAGAAATAAAGGGCAATTAACCCTTCTCGAGCTTACGTCTCTGTTCATGAACTAAAGCGATTATTCGGTTATCTGTTAACAAGGTTCCTACTCATTTAGCTTTTAGATAAAGAGTGGAACACCACAAGGTTACGCGAGAATGTCAAAGTTTTTTGGCGTGGCTGAATCCAGTTTTATCTATCTGATTTGTTGTCCGCGCCTGCTGGGGGGTTGTTTCTGACTGATTTGGCAGAAAATTGGTAATAGTTGTATATGAAGGGGTGTGAAAATCTGGAATTGTCGTATTCTGTCTTTTTTTTTTTTTTTTTTTGGTTGTTGTTGTCTCTGGGATTTATTTGATGATCGGACACATTTTGTTGGACATTGGATCAGAGAGATACTAAAGAGAAAAGCTGTCGAACTTTGATATTTTTGAAATGCCCTTGTTTGCTGACTCTCGAGGTGACAGGCAGGAGATACTACGCCCGAGAGGTGTTTCTCCTGAAATCACGAACTTTGTCTGTGGGCTACCTCATGACGATTGCGAGGTATTAAGTAAAGGACTGCCGTCTCTTAGCAGTCCATTAGTATCCAGAGGGGCAGAAAAAGAGGAAAGATATCTTCTCAGAAGTTGCAACTTCCGCAACTTTTCTGAAAATACTGTGTTTTATTTCCAGAGCTTGGAATTACGAAGGTAGAAGATGCTTTTTAATTATCGATACCATTTTGTGTGGCTACGTCGTTATCCGGGGTAAAATATCAGCTTGAGGTAGATGACTTTACTCCTCTGAAGTCTGGCTTTGCTATTGATTAAAGAAAAAGATCCGGGCCCTGTGATATGAACGGACTTTCGTCTTCTTTCGAAGGTTTTACCATCTTCTGAAAAGGAGTCGTAGAGCTGTTATCAAAATCAGACTTCATGAAATATGGAATTGACTCTCGGTCTTCAGAATGGTTCCTGATGTCACCTGGAAGGGATAATTACAGGCTGGATAAGTCATTTTCTTTGTTTGTTTTATTATTACTCTTAATTAGTAGACCCATAACAAAGTGTTGCTTCAGTAAAATTTAATGTCTTAATTAGCTCTCCTGCGTTTTTTAGACGTAAATTTCTTATAATTTCCTTATATGTGATTGAGATATTTTGAAGAAAAAAGAAAGATAAATAAAGTTTGTAAATCGATATTTATGTTTTAAGAATAAAAAAAAATGTGTGCTAGTGTAAAGCATTTTTTCAGCCTACTTCGGCTAAGATCTAGAATACTGACAACATGTCCATAATTTAATTTTCTTCTCTCCCGGGAAATTTAGGAATGTTACATTTTTCCCTCAAATGATTGAATAATGTTTAGCAGTATGTACGGTGGCACCTGAAGTTGGATTTTTCTTTTCTTTTCTTTTGGAATATTTTTTCTTGTATAGCTTTAAGTTAGAATGAAATAACTAATACCAAAAATTGTAATTTGTTTCAAAGTCTCATTACCTGTCACAATCTGAAGTACTCGATGGGCCTAATTAATGAATTGGTTAATATGTGTCAATTAACATACAATCATATTAACCTTGAATCGACACTTGAAGTACTTAAGAATTAGTGTCTGACAATTGTTTTTCTTTATTATTTATCCCCATACATTTTGATTGTTTTAATATAAAACTGGTTAGCTGTTAGCCATAGTTTAGCTTACACTTTGAATATTTCTAATTATAGAATGGTAGGCCATTCAGCAGGCAAGAACCCGGAACAAACTTAAACGCAACGCAAGTATTGTCATATACTCAGTTTAATTTAGTGTAATATGGTAGATCTCATTATTGCATCTGAAATACTTGTAATAGTACTTATCTTAGTGCAAACGGATTTTAGGTAACATCACTGATTTTTCTCTCAGCGCGATAACCGTTGTGAAACTGATTAGCTGTATCTAACAAATATTAAAAACAAATCTCTTCATTTTGATGTACGAGACACAGATGGCGTTGGCTGTCATTGAAGTAGGAAGAAAAAAAGGGTTTTCCCCTTTCGACCTCGTGACGTGAACTGATTAAGTGTGTAATAACTTTCGGGGCCAGAAAAATTTCCCGACAATTGTTAAAAAATGTATATATTTTGTAGTATAGAGAGAATATAATTAATAAATCAACATATTAGAGTTTTTATTACAGATTCAACATCACACTACCCAGGTAAGTGAGCAAGTTTTGTCTTTAGTTTTTCTGGATTGCTCGGTATCTGGGATGAGTGAAGGAAGTATTTTTATTTTAATGATATTTAATGATAAGACTATGTTTTAGTAATAACAAAAAGTGGCGTCCCGTGACAGGACTCTAAGAAATAAACTTTAAAAAAAATTATTTTAATGGTTATAGATAGTTTTTGATGTATTAAAGTATAATTAAGTTTAAATTCGAAACTATTTTTTGTAAAGCAGTTTGTTTTATTTTGAAAGTTAACTATGGAAGCTTTAAAGGCTCTGAAACTTAAACGGGCAGGTTTACGCACTTCTTTTGCAAAAACTGCTAATATTTTAAAAACGGAATTAGTAAAAGAAGATTTTTCTGTAGATTTAGTACGAGATAAACTTACTAAACTACAAAATGTATATTCAGATATAAAAAATGTAGATGATAAAATTCTTGATTTGTTAGCTGAAGACGGGAAAACTTTAGAGGATGATGTTACTAAAGAAATCGAAAGTCGCGAGGTGTATTCTGATGATTTCATAACACTAACTCGGCAAATTAATGAAAAATTGCAATTTTCAGATGAAATCAATTTAGAAACAAGACCAAATGATGGTGCTGGTATTTGTTGTAGTAAGATTAAACAGTATAGACTTCCGAAAATCGAACTTAAGAAGTTTGATGGGGAATTGATAAATTGGTTACCGTTTTGGTCGCAGTTTGAGAAAATTCACACTGACCCTGATTTATATGAAAGTGACAAATTTTCCTATTTGATTCAGTGTATGAAGCCCGGATCACGTGCTAAAGAATTCATTGAAAGCTATCCGGTGACTTCGGAAAATTATGATAAAGCTGTTTTAGCTTTGAAGGAACGTTTTGGGAAACCTGAATTATTAGTAGAAGTGTATGTTAGGGAACTAATTAAATTAATTGTTTCTAATGTGAAGGCAGATCAAAAGGATAAATTACCTCTTGATAAACTGTATGATAAAATTGAAGCTCAGTTGAGAGCCTTAGAGTCTTTAGGTCTTAAATCGAGCGAAAAACACATCGTGGTTATTTCCGATGGTGGAATCGTGTCTCACAGAGGATGTTTTAAAGGCGTGGCAAAGGAGTTCGCTCTTTAACCAGCCTGAAGGAACTGATCTTTCTCGCCTTACCAACTTAATGAAATTTTTAAAGTCTGAAGTGGAGGGTGAGGAGAGATTAAAATTGGCGCGTAATGGACTCGATGGTGTTAGTCGTAAAGAAGGATATCATGATAAAGCAAAGAGGGAAACAAAAGGTAAATTTAAATTTAAGAAACAGGGAAATGTTCCCACTGCCACAGGTTTTCTTACAACCAGAGAACATGCATGTATTTTTTTGTGGTAAAATGCATGATAGTAAAAATTGTTACGATGCGCGTTCATTATCTCTTAATGAAAGGATTTCTAAAGTTAAGGAGAAAAAATGCTGTTTAAAATGCTTGGAACCAAATCATATGGCAAAGTTCTGTAAACAGTTTGTTAGGTGTTTTGCTTGTGGTAAATCACACTCAGTTATTTTGTGTCCGGACATTAATAATGAAACTGAACTTCCTACAGAAAAATCAGAAATAGACAACATACATACGGCTACAGCCAGGCAAACTTGTACCGCTGACGTAGCTTTAATGACTTTACGCGTAAGAGTAGCTGGTGTCAAAAAGCATAAAGATGTTAGAGTACTCTTAGATTGTGGTTCCCAGAAATCGTATATTTTGAAATCATTAGCCACTGAATTGGGGTTACCAATTATTTCCAAAGAAAATGTTGCTCTTACTTTATTTGGAGGTGCCAGAACAGAGGCAAAGATGCATAACAAATATTTGGTAAAATTATGTTCAGCCAGTCCGCGTAAGTATTCAGATCTAGAATTTGAATTTTTAGATCAAGACATAATATGTGGGGATATACCTCGGGTACCCAAGGGTCCAATATTAAAAGAATTAAAACGAAACAACATTTGGTTGTCGGATCTGGGAGCAGATTGTCCAAAAATAGAAATGCTCATCGGTAGTGATATTTATGGAAAAATTCTCACGGGATCAGTAAAACAATTAAAAGGAGGACTAACAGCAGTTTGTACAAAACTTGGTTGGACAGTTTGTGGTGTATCGGAGGAATTTGTTAATCACAAAGATAAAGATGCTTCCATTTTGTGTGCAAGTTTAGTGGGTCACGACTTTAAAATCTCCGATCTTTGGAGTTTAGAAACGATCGGAATATTAGATGCTCACCAGAATTCAACTAACGCTGCTGAGGAAGAAGAAATTGCCCACGAACAATTTTTAAACTCTCTTTCCAGAAACGAAGATGGTCGTTATTGTGTCGGATTACCTTGGTTAGTATATAACGCAGAATTGCCATCAAATCGTCATGTAGCAGAAAAAAGATTGTTCAGTGTCACCCGAAAACTCAAGTCTTTACATAAATATGAAGAATATGATAGAATTTTTAATGAATGGATGGAGGAGGGTGTAATTGTAATGAAATAGTACCAGACAATGAACTGAATTATAAAGGGCACTACTTACCGCATCACCCAGTATTTAAACCAGACAGTGTCTCAACTAAGATAAGACCTGTTTTTGACGCATCATGTAAAGTTAATAGATCGCCCTCCCTTAATGATTACTTAGTAAAAGGACCAAATTTAATAGAAGAAATCCCTTCAATTTTGTTAAGATTTAGAGAAAAATGCATTGGCGTAACCTCTGATATCCGGCGTGCATTTTTACAGATTGAATTACGGAAAGAAGATAGGGACTTTTTAAGATTTTTATGGTGGGAGAAAGATAATGTACTGAAGGTTTTCCGCCATACGAGGGTAGTTTTTGGAGTAAAGTCTAGCCCTTTTCTATTAGGAGCGGTTATTTCAGTTCATTTGGCACAAGTACCAAAGGAACAAAGTTCTATTGCTCAGAAATTAAATAAATCCTTTTATATTGATAATTGTGTGACTTCTGTTGATAACGAAAAGGAGCTTGTGAATTTTGTGAAATCTTCTACTGAAATATTAGCTGAAGCAAAAATGGACTTACGTATGTGGACCTATGGCCCAGTAGAAAAAGATGTGGAACTAACCCAAAGTACTTTGTGCACTGAGTCCACAATGGAGAATTCTGTACCAGTTTTAGGAATTATGTGGGACAGAATAGAAGATAACCTTTATATTGAAATTAAGACTGTATTGGTTTCGGATAATTTGTCTAAAAGAGAGGTTTTGTCAGTAACGCAGACAATGTTTGATCCTTTGGGTTTCTTGACACCTGTTTTATTGCCTGCAAAGTTACTGCTACAGGAAATTTGGGCGATAAAAGCAGACTGGGATACTCCATTACCAGATAGTATCAAAAGTAAATTTTCGAGGTGGTATAATAAATTACAAATTTTGAATAAGTTGAGAATACCGCGACGTATAGGTTTTGGAGATAGAAGTTCCTGGACACTTCATGTATTTTGTGATGCTAGCCAGCATGCTTATGCCACGGTAATATTTTTGAGATGCGAAACTAAAGAAGAAACATTAGTCAGTTTTGTAATGGCTAAGTCAAGAGTCGCACCCTTAAAAGAACTTACTATTCCCCGTCTAGAACTTATGGCCTGTCTTTTGGGCGTGCGTCTTTCCAAATATGTGACAGAAGCTCTTACATTGGATGACATCCCGAAATATTTTTGGACCGATTCCACCACGGCCATATCTTGGATTCAAAGAAATGATGCGTGGGGGACTTTTGTGGGCAATCGCGTGAAGGAAATTTGCGCTTTCACTAAAGCAAATCAGTGGTCATATGTACAGGGTCATTCTAACCCAGCTGATTTACCTTCTCGTGGTTGTTCCCCTCTTCAGTTTTTCGAATTAAATTGGTGGAGAGGGCCTGTTTGGCTCAAAGACCCTAGAGATAGCTGGCCAAAATTAGAGGTTAAGCCAAATGAAACTTTAGTTTTTTCAGAGCGCAGGAAAGGCATAAATTTAAATGTAAATCTTAGTATAACTACAAAAGCGGATAAAGTTAAGTGGTGTGAGAAGTTCTCTAAATTTTCAAAAATGTTAAGAGTTTTAGGTTGGATAAAGAGATTTATCAAAAATTGTCAAAAGAAAATTGTAAATAAAGAGCCTTTTCTGTCTGCTTCCGAGATAAAGGAATCTAAAATTATACTTCTTTCACTTGTTCAGGGGGAGAGTTTTCCAGAGACTGGAGACTCCATCAATGGTCTTTTGACCGTACGAGATCAGAGTGGCTTAAGAAGAGTAAAAACAAAAATCACCGAACGAGATGATTCTTATGCATTCCGGTACCCGATTTTATTACCTTCTAAGCATTATATTGTTGACTGTTTAATTAGAGATTACCATTTAAAGCATTCTCATGCCGGCCGGCGTACAAGCATTAACTGTTATAATTAGAGAAGAATTCTGGATCATTGGTGCAAGACGCCGAATTAGATCGGTGGTGAAACAGTGCGTCCGTTGTAAACGATTTTCAGCAAAAACCTCCAACTACTGCACCCATTCAATTACCATTAGACAGAGTTCGAGATGCGTTCGCATTTGAAGTTACCGGCATAGATTTATGTGGCCCTCTGATTCTCAAAAATAAAAACAAAACCTGGGTAGTACTGTTTACGTGTGCTGTATATAGATGTGTACATTTGGAACTAGTGACATCCGTAAGTACCGAATGCTTCATTCAAGCGTTTCGTCGGTTCATAGCCAGAAGAGGTCGGCCATCTACAGTTTATTCAGACAACGGCACAAATTTCGTCGGTACATCTGCATTGCTGAAAAAGGTTGACTGGGTAAAGGTAATTGCTCAGGAAACTTTGCATCCCATCACTTGGAAGTTCATTCCGCCCACTGCTGCTTGGTGGGGCGGATGGTGGGAGCGTCTAATCCGCACAGCCAAGAATTTGATTGTGAGAGTCTTAGGACAAGCTGCAGTCAATTACGAAGAGTTACTCACCGTCATCTGTGATGTGGAAGCCGTAACGTAATAAACTGTCGACCACTAACTTATGTGTCAAATGACTCTGAGGATCTTCTACCATTAACGCCTTCCATGTTCTTACAGGACATTAAGGTTTCAGGTACAGCAGATTTGGATGCTTTAGATCGAAATAAACTCTTGGCTCGTCAGCGTTTCTGCCAGGAACTTCGAGAACAATTTCGTAGCCGTTTCCGCAAGGAGTACCTTGGACAGTTAGTACAAAAGCATGGACAGACGGACTGTGAATTAAAAGTTGGAGACATCGTGCTAATAGGTTGTGAGAACCTTAAAAGAGTGAACTGGCCAATTGCTCGTGTCCAAGAACTTTGTACAAGCAGAGATGGACGTGTAAGAGTTGTAAAAGTGAAAACTAGAAATGGCATACTGATTCGTCCTGTACGTAAACTGTACCCTCTAGAAGTGTGTTCCTGTACTAAGGATACCATTATTTGATTTTTGATTTTCCTTCTGAAAATCAAAAAGGTGGGAGTGTTGTGAAACTGATTAGCTGTATCTAACAAATATTAAAAACAAATCTCTTCATTTTGATGTACGAGACACAGATGGCGTTGGCTGTCATTGAAGTAGGAAGAAAAAAAGGGTTTTCCCCTTTCGACCTCGTGACGTGAACTGATTAAGTGTGTAATAACTTTCGGGGCCAGAAAAATTTCCCGACAATTGTTAAAAAATGTATATATTTTGTAGTATAGAGAGAATATAATTAAATAAATCAACATATTAGAGTTTTTATTACAGATTCAACATCACACTACCCAGGTAAGTGAGCAAGTTTTGTCTTTAGTTTTTCTGGATTGCTCGGTATCTGAGATGAGTGAAGGAAGTATTTTTATTTTAATGATATTTAATGATAAGACTATGTTTTAGTAATAACAATAACAATAGCACCACACATATTACTATGGTTACGTATTCATTGCTAATGAAACATATTATTGGGTTTATTTATACAGAACCAGTTGGGCTCATTAAAACCCAACAATTTTGAATTATTGAAATTTTAATTTCCGTCAATTGACCTTTGTTTTTCGTTAGTTGGCTAGTTCTAATTAATCGTTACCCTGTCACTTCCGCAAAAAAGCGTGTCTGGCAAGATAAATACTCTTTTATTTCATAATTTAGAGCAAAAGGATAAGAAAGCTGTAAATTATCAATGTATGAAATGAAGATTTAATTAGCTCTCTCTGTAAATGTTAGTTTTGTACGAAAGAAATGTGTCTGGTAGAGTGGAAATGTGCACATCAGTGGGTTTGTCGTGAGATAGGTGCTCAAAACTGACGTCCATACTACCACTATCGAGGGCATGTGCATCCATATTAAGGGCGAATTTCGCAAACGGGATTTTTGGCACTTGTGGGACGACAATATCGACTCCTACTTTATGTAATTTATGTGTCGACGCCGCTATCGAGATCAGGAAGAGGAGGATCAGTTTCTGGATTATATCAATTGCATATTTGAATTATAGGGGCTGCAATCATCCGGCACTGACGATGAGACATAGCTAAGAATAAACGAGGTGAGCACTTTTGTTGTTTCCACAATATATGTTTTCGTCATTGATTTGGGCGACAGCACACCAAAAATGATCAATGGTACCCTATTGTAAACTTTTACTCGTATCTGCGATGCTATCATTGTGAGATGATTTGTGAGTGCTTTATATTTTACTATGATGTTTCCTACGACAATGTTTTAAAACTGCAACGCTTTTGACTGCTTTATTTTCTACAGTCATATTTTATATCACTATGTTTTAGAACTACCATGTTTTTTTCTCTTTTCCAACGATGTTATCCCCGTGATTTGTTTTTTCCACTATATTTTCTCCTGTAACCATATTTTGATAACTACATGATTTCAAAATTAGTCCGGGTCATATCATTCTCACATAAGGCTAATGATGAAGCTGACTACATAACGCTTCAGCCAACAATAATGTTCAAACATTTCAAACAGAAACGTTTAGTGGCCAATCGAATTAAGGTTAACCAGAACTGAATAAATCCTACCCAGGCCTTCGAAGCATAATCTGAACATCTTTTTCATGCCTTAAATCTCCTGCCGATGTCGCCGCTTTGCATCAAAAGGATGTAAATAATCTTAAAATTAGTGAATAGCTTCTTAGAAGTCATATACGACGTATAGTATATACATGAATGTTCCGTGATTGATGATAAGGCTATGCCTTCATAAATGTATTAAACATACTTTTAGCAGAATATGCATCTAACGTATTTGCCCAGACATCATATCATATAGTTATCGTATTTTAAATAGTATATTCAGATTACTTTTATATTAACTTAGATTTCAGATAATTTATTTAACATTCAGCCTATTAATAATAAATTTCGAACGTATGAGACATTTTCCGAGCATCATATTGCATGCCAAAAATAAAACATGCAGGGATCAGCATTATCTAAGAACTCGACTAAAAGCAGCATGGACTAAAGAATATTTGAAACTCTGAATTTAAAATGACACCGAAATGTGGAGGATACAGTTATCCAAATAATCAGCATTTATTTCTTCAAATAAAGCATCCGATGCCTTGGGCATTCGATCAAACTTTAAAGGCAAGCAAAAGCAAGTCACACAATTTATACAGTCAAAATGTACTTGAGAATGTTGTTACTATTTATGAATAGTCCTTAAGTAGAAATCGCACATTGACTTCATATATTATATCTATTTTGTTGATACTCCCGATTAAGCGTCGTACGTGCTTCCACCACAAAGAGGCGTGGAAGAGACGGAGGAAATACCTAATATTCTTTGTTCAGACTACTGAATTTCGCAAATATCTGAAAAATTGATTCTAATTGCATTACGTGTATTATCGAACAGTTTGAAAGATTAATAATTTAATTTAGTCAGAAATCTAATAAGAATAAATTCTATTTAAAACGAGGCAATTTGTGAGAAATTTAAGACATAGTTTCCATTGAAAAGTTTCTTAAGGAAATTTGAGGAGAAGTTTACGCTGAGAGTTTTCTGAAGTCCAAATTTTGTAATAAATTTGAAAAATGATTTTAAATGGAATACTTAAATGGTCCAACTATTTAAAAGAGTTTAATTTAATTTAGGATATAAAAATTTTATTAGATTTAAGAAATGACAACAAGGAAAGGAATTAAGGTTTTGTTTAGAATAAAACTTTTCCGAGTATAAGTTTTATAAATTGATTGGATAAGTTATTGTGATTGGAATATTTATATGGCCTGACTATTGAAAAAACGAGTAATTTAAATTTGATAGATAATACAATTAATAAGGCAATTTTGATATATATATATATAATTTAATATAAGGATTTTGATAATTTAATATAAGGCAATTTTGATAGGGTATTTTGAGAAAGAAATGAGGGAGTCGATGCGTGGATCACAGAATGTGTGGTAAAAAATGGCAGAATATTATCATCCATGAGAGTAGTAATTACAGCAGGATGAAACATACATACAGTGTCACTTTTTGATACTAATTAAATAAACTTAGAACTTAGTGTTCTGAATAAGGGATAATCCCTCTAAATAAGGGAGAATGCAAATTGTAACAAAGAAAGCAATTCGATATATCAAATTAATAAATCTTAACGGCACTGTGAAAAAATCATGATGTCAAGTACAGTAATTATACACATAGTAGTATAGAAAGTAGCTAATTAATATTGTAATACAATAACAGTGGTTGGAGCTATCGAAATGCACTTAGATCTTGAAATACAAAATTTGATGTTTATGAAATTATTGTCTGCTGTAAATTATTGGTGTATGAAATTTGTCGGCAGGTGCGGACAAATGTTTTTGGCTGCGGATCAAAATCAACCAAATTGGGCGTATTAAGATGACATTTCGGTTCAATGGTATTGTCATTTAAAAGCAGTCTTTTTGATGACTAATAAGGTACATTTTATTCAGAAAGTAATTACAATACGCTTTAAACTTTAAACATGTAAATTAAATTAGAATTAGAATTATTGTAAAAACAAACATAGCTGAATGAGCTTCATTTTTCTGTTTGATATCAATAGCTTCCCTGATGCTTAACTTCTGAAGTGAATTTATTCAAATCTGGTTTATAATTAACCGTCTTAAGATGAGTAAAGGCATGTTAATTTTAGGTAGCTAAGCTGCTCCTGTTCTTACATAAAATAAATTTTATGCGTGAAAATTTTGCTCACATTTAAATGCTAAAACGAACGTGGAAATGAAACCTTAGTGTGAAGTGATGAACAGCACGTTGATAGCATGAAAATTTCATAATCTTCTGATTTTTTTAAAGTCTTTTTGCAATGTCTTGAATTTAGCCATCCATAATGCGGAACTTTCATTTCTAAAGTAAAATTGTCAGCTTTACGATATTGAAAGCATTTTATTACGTCGAGCTTTATTACAAAAGCAAACATTTTGCAATGCTTTGTTTGTTTCTTCGTGTTGCATTTTTAACAAGGGAAAGAAATTATTTTTTTTATGTCTGTTTCAAGCAATATTAATTTCGAAGAAAAAAAAATCTTCCATTCCTCTTACATTTTTAAAAGACTGCGGTTATTTTTTTGGAGACGTAGACTGAAATCATCATAATAGTTCCCTACGTCTGTTAAGAACTAGTCTTTAAGAGCATTCTTTACCACTGAATCCGAGAACATGTTCGCCGATTTTGTAAAGAATCTCATCGAATTATTTTGTATGTCATCAAGATACTCTATAATTCTATTAAGAACTTTGCCTCGACATGACCATCGTGTTTCTAACTGTAATAACAAATTTCCACATTTTTTTTTTTTGATTTTCGCCAAAAAGGTTTCGAAGCGACAGTGTAATAATACTGTTATCATGCATGTTCCTTTTGGCATTACGTCTTTAAGTTGTTGCATAGATGCCTTTGCTAATAAATTTTCTTCTTCATTGATACAATGAAATGATAAAATTAAGTGGTGAAGTTCATTTTCCATTAGTTTTACAAATACAGAAGTTTTTCCTTTCAAAGTTAGAGCACCATCAGTGGAAGCAGTGGAAAACAATTTGCTGTATAAATCCAAAACTTGTCCATTTTGGAAATTAGTAAACTCATATTTGACGAAAATCCTCACTGCGTTTGGTAGTGCCATTCGTAGAAACAAGATCGCAAAATTCTTCATTAAATTTTGAACAGTTTGTTGATAGATATCTTTATGAGAGCTCCAAGCCTACCCATACTATTTGCATTGGTACATTCATCGAGTGCAAAGCTAATTACTTCATTAGATACAAATCATTTTTGACCTATTCGTCAACATTTTCGGCCACATCTTTAATTTGCTTTAAATCATGATAATTGTATCAACACGTAGCTATAATTGCGTCGCTATTCTTGCGCTAGTAATCAAGTGCTATAATTGCGAGCGATCTCAGAGAACTGCGAGAACGATATCAGTGTTGCCTGTTAAT